CGAGTTCCCGCCGGCGCTGCTCCAGAGGGAACCACTCGAAACGTAACAAACTGGACTCTCAGCGACGTAACACAGCGTCTCATCGTAAAGCAACATGGGCTGAGTGAGTACTTGGGTGGGGTGGGAATGAGCAGGAGGGTGCGACAGGTCACTGAGTCTTCTTCCCAGAGTTAACAGCTGAACACCCCCATCCCCATCCTCACTTCTCTCCAAACTCCCCTCCGACGTGAAGAGCTGAGAGGACAGAGAGGCTCAGACGAACAGCTGGATCCGCTCGCGGATGGTCTGCCGGCAGATGGGGCAGGTCTTGAGCGCAGCGCTGCAGTCGATGCAGGAGGCGTGTCCGCACTGGAAGACCAGTTTGATGTGGTTGTCGATGCAGATGGGGCAGGTGATACGCTCCTCCATCTGACGGTAGCGCGACTGCAGCTGCTCCAGCAGGTTGTGCTGCTCCGAGTTCTCATTGCCAGGACTGCAATCCACCTCTGTTTGGTCTGCGGGGAGGAGGAGGAGGAGGAGGGGGGAGACATTCAATGAGGAACTGAATTTACAGACTTAGACAATAACTGTAGGTTATTGCTTTGTGACGTTAACAGAAGTGAAATTCATGCACGCTATGCAGTCTAATACAAGCTCACACTGTCCTGCTGTGTCACTGTGCTGCTGGAGCAAAGATGGCTGTGTACAAGAGAAACTACAACATGCCTCTAAATGTCACTGGTGGCTTGTTCCCGACAGAAACGTGCTTTAATCCACCATCCAGAGCCGTGTCTTTGACTGTTTCTGCTCTCTCTGGGTAGAGTAGGGGCTTCTTGCAGAACCGCAGGCTGCAGTTTCAGGACACTAGTTTTTTGTGACCGGACCACAGATGGACGCGTACGACAGCTCTTGGAAATATCATAGCAGTAGCCAAATAATTACTTTATTAATTTTACAATAAAATTATCTATTATCAATAATACACAATCGTGGTCCGGAAACTGCAGCCTCCTGTCAGCTGCTGCAGGAACATAATCTCATATATCTCATATATTAGCAACATTAAACTACTAAATTGAAAGAAATTTGTATTAAATTAGTATCAATGTTGTTTTCTTTCATCTTTCATCTCCAGGGAAGAGGAGCTGAGGGACAGAGATCCTGCCACTCATGCACTGAACCTCACTGAGTATTGAAGTATCTGATCAAGATCTAGTGATGGCAAAAGGCCATAGCATAAGATTCCATCTTTATTTTATCTGATAATTACCTTATTATGCTAATTAAACAATTAAACTGCCACCATAAGACAGGAAGTAGTATTTGGGCGGAATAACCCCACTTGGTAGACTTTGCGATCTAGGCTCCTAGAAAATGCAACTGTATGTCAGTTTAAAAATCACAGAAACTCATGAATGAACATCAGGTAACAGTAAAACGTTTAGACGGTACATGCAGATGAATCTTTCTCACCTTGTCTAATTTTCTTGGTGATTGTAACTTGGCATTTGATGCATTTCTTCATTCGATGGGCGCATTCTGTTCAGACGAGGAGCAGGTCAGTAAAGACACAAGAAATACAAACATAACAAAAAGCAGCTGTAAAGACTTTGTCCACATTATTTAACAATATGAGACTGTAGAAAACTATTTATGGGCTCATTTAGTAACTTATTTTCTATTTGTTTTGCTCATTTTCTATCTTTATTTTCATGGTTCACTGAGTGTTATCTGTGACCTCCTTTCAAACCCACCTTCACAGGCCACGCTGTGCTGGCAGGGGCAGAACAGAACCAGCAGAGCCAGCTCGGAGCAGATGAGGCATTCGCTGGGCCCCGGCGGCGTGGGAAGAACCAGGTTGGTCATGGTGTTGGGCGTAGTGTGGACCCGCCGCAGGCTGGCGCTGCTCAGGCCCTGTCCGCATGTGATGGCCTGCAGACGCTGCAACCTGACACACAACACACAAAACCGAATGATTCCCGCACAGCGAAACTTCCTCTTCGGTCGACTTTTCTTCATCTGCATATAAACGATATTCATCAACGAACATATTTCATAAAATACGCATCATACACCTACCTGTGCTTCTCAGAGAAGCTCTTGATGAGCTGCAGCATGGTGCTGTCTGCCACCAGGTCCAGAGGACTCTTGCCCTTGTGGTTGGCGTAGCTGATGTCGGCGCCTTCCTGTGCTAGAAAACAAGCCATAGCTGCTCCGACGCTCAGCTCCGTGTTCCCCAGAAGACCCGACGCGCTCAGCTGTGGAGACACATGATGGAGTATGTTGGAGTTAATGATTATTAAGCAGAGCCTTCTCTACATAAGGCTTAGAGTAGAACCTGAGTTTGGGACACAGCTGATTATGAAAAACAAAAGATGTAGCTGAAGTAAAACCAGTGCGATGCAGCTAACACAGATTCACAACCCCAAATCTAATCAGCAGCGAAGAACTCCCCGATAACTCATCTGCTGACGGTGGACAAAGCCGCCCTGAGCACTTAAGTCTAACCACCTTCAAGGCTGCGAGTGTGTGTGTGTGTGTGTGTGTGTGTGTGTGTGTGTGTGCTGGCTTGGCAGGCTCCCAGGGTGTTGAGTGGAGCTGCAGTGTTTGCGGTCATGTAGACTGGAGAGGACGTTCTTCACCGGCGCACTGATATCAGCACCGACGGGTGTTAACGGTGTTTAAAGCGCCCGTATAAAAAGTCGAGGCGTTTTAACGAGGATTATAGAATGAACGAGTTCTTGTGCGTTAGTGGCTCCGAAAACATGAAGCAGATTAAAAAAGAGAGAAGCTGGGACGTTGTAATTGTGATCCCCTTTAGCAGGTGGACACAGTGACAGTGTGGAGGAAACCTTCAGCAGGTGTTTAAAGCTGCACTGATCAATATTTTTATCAATCGATATTTAGTTTTCACCTTGTCCGTCCGTCCCGTTTTCGAGGACACAACATCTCAGTAGTGCCTTGACAGAACGTCTTCAAATTTGGCACAAACATTCACTTGGACTCAGGGGTGAACTGATTAGATTTTGGTGGCTACAGGTCAAAGGTCAAGGTTGCGATGACCTCACAAAACACGTTTTTGACCATAAATCACAAATTCATTCATTAATTATGACACAATTAAACTGAATAGTCTATAAGGATAAGATGAAGTGATGATATTTTATATCTAAATGGTCAAAGGTCAATTTCACTGTGATGTCATAATGTTCTGCAAAAACACTTCTGGCCATTATTTAATGCTGTAACTCAGGACGTTACAGCACGAGTTCCTGCGGGTTGACTGGTTGGTGGAGGGATACGACTGTGAGGCGGTGATTCTAGTTTTTATTCATTTTTATTGTCTCTCAGCAGCTGATAAACCGAGTGCGTGACCCGGCAGATGGCCCCCCCCCCCCCCGAGGTTTGCTGTTCAATAACACGTTCACCATAAAGACTTCACGAGGTGATGATCTGTCAGTGATTTGTTTACAGCTTGGCAAAAAAAAAATCAATATCGCCAGTTTAATGTGACCAAACTGTCATGGATCGCCAGACGCAGCATTCGCTTTCATTAATGAATATTCAAACTGCCATAGGTGGTCGTTGTTGTTGTTGTTGTTGTTGACAGCAGTCATGATACACGGACTCTTCCCTCCACAAAATGGCTTTAGAGAGAGAAAATGACGACGATTCAAAATGTCAATGTTAAAAGACCCGAGGACTCGGTCAGTAATTTCAGTGTCTTTGAGGATGAATAACTCCACACGGTTTCTTTTATACTCCCTGGATTAATGGAGCGCCGTCCTCTGGAGGAAAACAACATGTTTACACCGCGCTCCTAAAATTCATCACAGAAATCTTAACTGGAGCTTCATCTCTGTCAAATCTGTACTGCCACACTGAGAGGGCCCTCCCCCACCCCCTCCTCTTCCCCTTCATTACACCATCGCTTCGTCTTTTGCCAGTACGTTCTTTTAAAGCTGCACCTCGGGATTAAAGCCGAAGAATGAAGTAATCTCTATTTCAAAGAACAAAATAAAAAATCCTAAAAGGTTAAAACTCATGTGGTTATTAAGATCTAAGACTCTGTTTTCAGCTTGTGTGTTTCCGGAAAAAAACAACCTCTTAACCCCTCCCTCCTGCTCTCTTTACACAATCAACCCCCGCTTTAATGTCTTCCTGTCTGACTCACTCCTTCTCCCTCCTCTTACCTTCCATTCCACCTTCCTCCTTCACACTATTAATCCCTCCTCCCACCTTCAGTCTTAATTCACTTACTTTATTTATTAAGCCACCATTTCTCCCTGCGTCATCTTTACTTTCAACATCTGGAACATTCATCTGCCCGTTTATCATGGTCAAAGAAACGTGAAGGTGTTTCGACCATCTCCTCGTTCACGCACAAAGACATTAAAGTGTTCCCGCCCTCAGTGTGACATCAAAGGAAAATGGCCACCGTGTGAATATGGTCTATTTGAAAACTGATTATTTTGAAAATCATTTTCTTGCTCTTGATTTAACTAATTGCTCCCCCTAGGAGAAACGTTAAGTCTTTAGAATAAAAAAATAAGTCGCCAACATGCCACTTCCCCTCCAGCCTCACCCTGCAGTAGAGCGACGTGGAGGCACAGCCCTCGCTGCTCTCCTCCGTGCTGCTGGTTCCCACGGTGGGGCTGAGCATAACATTGGCCAGCTGCGGGCGGAGGAGGGCCACGTGCATGGCCGTGTCCCCGTCCTCGTCCTCCATGTTGACGTCGGCGCCCTCGGCAACCAGCAGCTGCACCAGGTCGGTGTGGCCCTGCGTGACCGCCAGCTGCAGCGGCGTCTGGTTGCGGTTGTTGCGGATATTGATGTCGCAGCGACCCTGTGGAGGAGGAGGTAGAAGAAAAATAACATTTAAATTCCCCACCAGAAAATTAAAAGTCGCATTAAATGTTAAATTAAATGTGTAAAAAAAAAATGGTGGTTGCATACTCCTGTTGTGTTTTAGTATAAAAATAAAGACAGAAAGAACGATGATGGAGAAGGAGAAGACACCTCACCTCCTTGATGAGGATCTCGGCAACGTCTCTGTGGTTGTTGAGGGAGGCCAGATGCACCGCGGAGAAGCCGTCCTCCTTCTTAACGTCCACCAGCTGCCGTGCTCGACCCAGGATCTTCTCTGTGGCCCTGCGGCCGGGACAAACAACACGAGACTCAGTCAGCCGGGGTGCACAACAGCCCTCACAGCTTCGATTAAGAACACTTAATATAATGTGTAATAGCTGCTCCGCTGCTTTTTTATCGTCTCACACACTTGAACTAATTGCAGGCTGCTGCAGCATGAACGCAACGTGAACCTGTCGGAGTATGAGGCTCATCCTGGGTCACGCTGCACTCGACAGAGACGCAGCTGTTGACTGTTAATAAGACAGGAAAACACTGAGGCACCACAGGCAGCCGGTCTGCACTAAATATAGTCAAGTGACCTCCTGATGTGGCTGCAGCTCTGCCCTTCCCACAGCGTGGCATCTAAACTGTTGCTTTAAACCTTAAAGCTCACCGTCATATTCAGTGTTTACTACAGAGTAATAAGACAACGTCTAACACGACTGAGGACATTAAACGCATCATCTGTCAAGGTCATAAATGTGAACTGTCTTCTTAGGCTTCCATTTAGTTTTCTGGGTCACAGCCTGTTGTCTTCAACGTGAGGTCGACATAGTTCAGCTGCAGATCATTATTTGGTGAGGTGAGACTATTAGAACTTTTTTTTTTGTGATTCATGCAGCAGGACGGCGCTGCAGAGCCGGGCCAGGCAGCACCGTCGCCTCGTCCTCTGCTCTGCAGCCGAGTTTGCTTCATGACGTGTGAAATTGAAGCTGACAGCGTCGGTAGGCGCCCAGGACGCCGGCTCTGCCGCCACGGAGGCTTCAGTGTGACGTGACCCTAACTTTCTGTGGATTTTAACGTGCGCTCGGCAGGATTGTAACGCGTGTGAACCCTGCTGTCGCTCAAGTTGATAGATGATGCTGTGTTTTCAACAGGAAGCATACGGATGATGGACAGCACACTGACTGAGGCTTATTGTTCCCTGCTTTACATTCACTGCTCGACTCCGTCACCGCACAGACGGACAGCTCAGGATGTAAACAGGATGCACAACCGATGAGTTACCAATAAATATGATATCAATCTAAGATAGTTCATAGCCCATCCAGCCATAAAAAGCTTATTACTGCACAACAGAACACGATCATAACAGCAATAAACAATCAACACATACAACAGGGAGCAAAGAATGTCCAGAGAACAGGAAGGAATTTGATGATGATGATGATGATGATTAATTAATAATTCTTAATAATTAATAATATTGATAAATCTCTTTACCTAAGACCAACTTGGAACCATCCTTCTTCCAGCTACTAAAAATATAATGTAATTATTTTTCTAATGTTTTCATTTTTCTTATTTTCTAGATTTATTTGCTTTTCATTCTCTTACTATTGTCATGCATTTATTGCTACAGCGTGTTTACAGTATTTATATGTGTTTGAATGTATTGATTGTATTGATTTGTCTTCTGCACATCATTGATCAAACTATTAGATATGGTTGCAATATGCTTTAGGGAAGATACGTACATCACTGGTGTGAATATGTATCTACCTTTTATGTTAAGATGGTGATAAATAAATAAACAAATAAACAAATAAATAAAACAAATCTCTACCTGAATTGTTCGGCTTTGAAATCCTGCTTTCTTAAGACACCGTAGTTGTTTATAAAGAGAATTTATAAATTAACTATTATTCCATCAATAAATACTTCAGCTTTTAAAATTAACTTACAAAAACAGCACAAAACACTCAATAAATACATTTATTAATTCATGAATAAATAATAGAAAGTGAAAAACCAGAATTGAAAAGGCATTTTAAAAACTACTTTTCCTCTTCCTGTTAGCTAATCAATTAGCTTAGTCATTTAGCCTTTCTATGACAGGGTTAGGGTTAGGGTTGGGCCTTCAGTGCTGGTAAGACCCGATACGACTGGTTAGCTCTCCAACCAATCAGGGAGCTTGTTCCACCTCATGACCCATGAATCCAATGGGGATTGTTTAGCCTGGTTATGAATGGAGAAGCTAAATGACTAAGCTAATCAATTAGCTAACAGGAAAAGGAAAAGCAGCTGGAAAAGGGAAATGGAAATTCCCCTTTCAAAACTGCCTTTTCAAATAGTTTGTCAAATTCTATTATTTAATTAGAATGAATAAATGTATTTATAAATGGTTTATTTATGATGTTTCTGTAATCTGTTTTTAAATCTAATGTATTAATGTATTAATGGATTAATCATTCATTTATAAAATATTTTTACAATTCCTATTTTTAATGCCTATTAAAATATAAAACTGACATCCCTGGTCCTCCATATTTCCCTCACTGAGGAAACAAGAGCTCAGTTAAAACACTTAATCTGTGACTTCAAGGATCCGTCTGGAAGCTTGAGTTCAGTCTGTTTACGACCTCAGACACCTGACGACAGAATCATGGACTCACTCTCCTGAATGGTGCATCTCATCTCTACTGTGTCACACTGTGTGAACGCTCTCAGCTCTCGTGGAGGGAACATGAGACATGCAATTATTTTTGAGCAGGGAACAGGGACAGTTTTAATGCAGCTTTAATTATGATAACTTACAAATTAGCACGTTTACAGGCTCATTAACAGCACATCGCAGAAACATTTTAAACGTATCACTGAGCTGCTTTTCGTTTTCTTTTTTCTTTTTTTTTTTTTAACGTGTGGTCACGTGTGGTCGGGATCTCCTCTGGGTGTGTTATTAAGGATGAAGGCTGTTAAGGAGACGCTGAGTTGGAGGTCATTGGTACCTGCAATGCAGCTGTGTGTGTGTGTGTGTGTGTGTGTGTGTGTGTGTGTGTGTGTGTGTGTGTGTGTGTGTGTGTGTGTGTGTGTGTGTGTGGGGTGGAGGTATTGATAGGAGGAAATAGTGTCCCTGCTCCAGAGCGCCTTCGTTAGCTCAAAGCGCTCGCCCTCGCCGCTCTGAAGGAGCCTCTCACATTAGATAACAGCCATGTCAGTTGTGTCACTTCTGTACCCACAATGCCTCACTCCTCCGTATCATTTCCATAATCGTTACTCCTGTGTGTTCATGAATATTCAGACGTTTTTAGGCAGTTTTTGTACAAACACGCCTTCACACACACAACAACCAGAGGCCATCTTGGGAAAGCTGCTGGTAATGACTTTTCTGGAGGCTGAAGTCATCTTTGGTTATTTTCGGGGGGTTTACATCACACTTGTTTTTAACTTGACTCTTTGGTAAAAGCAGAAGGAATGTACCATGACCAGTACAAACTCTGGAAAATGAAAAAAAGGAATGAAAAGAAAGGATTCTGATGAACAATCAGTGTGTTCTGAAATATATCTCAGTTTACGCTGAACGACAGGAGCAACAGGAAGAATAGAAGAAATAGTTGGGAACAAAAGCGACCTGGTGAAAGAGAGGAGAAAACAAAGAAGCTACGAGGAGCGCTCGTTCTTCTCCAGTAAATACAGTAAACAGACCGACCATCCTGTACATCCATTTACTTCTTCTGTCGCGCTGAACCCCCCCCCCCACAATAAAAAATCTGGCCTCTTGCCTCGTCTCATTTCTTTCCCAGGACTGTTTGTGAACTTGGCCTCTAGCCCTCTTTTTCCATTTCCTCACAATAAATAAATACTCTAATAAACAAAACATTCTCCTCTTTCTGTCACTAAAAAACAACTGAGGGTCCCAGCTGCTCGGAGGGGACTCCACACAGAGAACCATATATACTTTTATGCATGGTTCATCAATTTAACAACCAGAGGAAAAAACACAGAGGTTACAAATCAGACTTCTGTGCTAATAAAAACCCATTAAAATAATATTAATCTTTAATTCACTCCACAAAGTTTAAAGTCAAACTCAATCTGATTCAAACTGGAGGTTAAAATTTGCATTAAAGCCAAAACAAAGTGGGAGAACATACAGAGAAGGCGCTGCAGCGGGCCTGTGTCAGTGTGCTGTAGGCCTGCGCGGTGATATATGAATGAACTGCTGATCCTTGAACACTGTAAATCCTGTGTCTCTAGTTTTTGGCGCAGCGGCTGATGTCAGGCTAAATGAATGCCGGGGAGTGCGGCCCCCCGAAAAACTCCCAGCGCTGCACATATGACACTTGCCAGAACAGATCGGACGTTTTATTAAATGACCGTCTGCCGCAGCGTCTTTCCTCTCTCGCTTGCTCCGTCGACATTCATCCACATGTTACGCTCGTGTTCGGGGGCGTCCCGAACTCAGATTATTTCTTTTTTTTTGTGGGATGGTTTCTCAGACGTGGGGTGGGTGAGGGGGAGACTGATGAAGGGAATGTGGGTCACTGGAAGGTGAAGTCAGGAGGTCAGACATTAACACTTCAAAGCTTTTCTTTGATGAGGAAAACGGACTGATGTGTGCTCGGTTTTAGTTTAGTACTTAACTGATGGCATAAGAAGATGATGGAAAGACTGTGGTAATCTACTCACAGCCTGAAAATCTTTACTGATGACAATAACAGCGAACCCACACTTTGGAATAATAATCTCTAATTGAACTAATTGTGTGGCATCGCTTAAGGGAGGGGGATTTTTCTTCTTTTGTTTTTTTGGTGAAGCTGGTGTTTTTCATTCTTGCTTCCTCTCCTTTATGGCACCTCTTTAAAAAAGGAGCCGGGGACAATTTTCCATTACATGGTTTTGTTATAATTTGGGATGGAAAGTTCAGATGAGGTTGTAAAAGCCCTGGAGCAAAGAAGCAGGAACCTCACCACGGTCAGGAAGACTCAGTACACTGTAAAAAATATCAAGTCAGACTCAATATTTGATTCATTTTTCACACAAAGGTGGAAAAAAAAAAAAATTTCTTGATGTCAGTACAGTCATCTATCAAACGTTCAAGTCTGTCGGCATGAAAAATAACAATTTATGTGTAAATAATGTGAATAAATCTCCTGTTAAGGTGGTTTATGAGGCTCTGCACAGTAATGAATGAAATCTACTGCTGAAAACAGTTGGGAAATAAATATTCTAAATTGTATAAATGATGCACAACCGAAATAGTCTTTGATTATCATCTGCGACAGATTGCACAACTGTAGAGAAAGGTTTAAAGTAGAGGGTGACTGAGATTAATGACAGTATAATACATTATATAATTTGTATTGCAGTAATATATCACATTTATGTTTTAAATTTTTCAATAGCATCATCTTAATAATAATAATAAGCTTTAGCTGTAGAGCACTTTTCATACGAGGGATGTAACTCAAAGTGCTTTACAATAAAAACATGAACTAGTAAAGGAAAATAAAGAACAATGGAAGGACAATGATTTTAAAATAGATTCAGACTTCTACTGAGAACTGTGCTCAGTTCTAAAAGAGGAAACCACTGTACGGAGGTAGATTTGTGTCGACAATCCATGTGTAAATATGTGATTGGCTGCCGATGAGGCCATTTCCGCTTTTCAAAGTAAGAGCACACAGTCTTTTATGACGCCAAGACACAGTGACACAACCTGAGTACTGTCGGTCTGCCACACTGATTAGAGTTTGTTTGGATCTCTGTCCTCTATTGAATCCCACATATGCATCACTTATAACCAGACTAAATGTGGTTTGTGGAGAATTTGGAGGACGAGTTGATGTGCAGAAGTAAACGTTGCTGCATTTTTTCGCCTGATATCGACTGCGAGGCGGCTGACAGAGGCGCAGGCTGTGTGGGAGATGAGCTCTGTATTTGTAACGGATAGCGCTGAGAGTTGACCTTTGACTCCTCATCTGAACACACGGGGAGAGATTCCCACACACACGCCCATAGACACATGAGAACGACCGAGCTGAGGAAAAGGAGCGGACATGAGAACTGGATTTTGTCCTCTATTGACACATAGTTGGATTTATTTGGTGAACACACACTTGATGACAAACTAGATTTGGGGAATGCACACGTGGAAACTGTGGCATTGTCCATAGAGAGTGTCATTAGGTAATCATTACCATTAACTCAAACTAATGCTGCTTTGTTCTCACAACAACCCTTTTGACCACATTTTCCATTATTGTCATTATTTACAATCACTCATTATGGTAAGTCACATGTGAAAGGCCGAATGTTTACAAATCCCCCTACAATGAAAACCAAGTGTTTAACCTTGTTATCATGATGTTTTTATATAATACAGACACATGATGAGTGAAATAATCATCAACACCATGAATGAGTGTTTCCACCTTGAACTGCAGTGAACCAGTGACTCATAAACACAGATTCAGACAGCCAGGGTTTCATACGTCACAAACCTAAGAAACCAATCCTGTCAACTTGTGGGGACGGGGGGCGGGGCTAAATAAACCTGACACTGTGTCAGTACAGAGAGAGAGCGAGAGAGAGAGAGAGTTAGCATTAGCACAACTGCTAACACCGTGTCAGCCACTGCCAGTTACAAATCCTGCGCTAACCGTTCTGAAAAGATGCTAACTAGCTAATCGTTCTGAAAAGATGCTAACTAGCTAATCGTTCTGAAAAGATGCTAACTAGCTAACCGCTCTGACCCGTCTGCTAGTCTCTGGTTCTGGTCTCCACAGACTCCTCCTCTGAGTCTGGGTCTGACTGAGGCTCAAACATGTGGCTGAGTCTCTCTGATGTTTCCTCCTCTCACCATCTTGATGCTCTCTGCTCTTTCACCTGTCCACCTGGAGCCAGCAGGTGGTGGGCGGGGCTCAAGGCTCAATCAGGAAGTGAGAGGAGATGACCTCACACAGTTTTTTATTTTTTTTTATTTTTTTTACTTTTTATATGTGGAAACCATGTTAAAGTAAATATTAATCATTTTTACTAAGTTTAAAACGTGTCTGGAGAGAAACTTCAAGCCTTTGTAAAAATTCAATAATATAATAATAATACTCACAGTTTGTTTCCTTTGAGGGCGGCGTGGTGCAGCAGGTTGAAGCCTCTGTGGTTCTGCTGAGTGAAGTCAATGTTGGGCACCACAACCAGGATCTCGATGATATTGCGGAAATCTTTAGCGATGGCGTCATGGAGAGGCGTGTCCCCGTATGAATCCTGAGTGGGGGATAAAGAAAACAAAGATGAACATGCAGCACAGTGAGCGAGGTTGTTCCATGCATTCAAATTGGTGCTGCAGGTTTTTTTTTTCTTGTGAAATGTTCAAAACAGCATCATTAACCCTTGAATCTCTACACTAGAATATCTTTATATCACAAAGGTGTTGATCTGTAAACTTAACATGATTTTATCCACTACAGTTTGTTGTAATCCTGTTTTTTTTATTATAACATGTTCTTAATCATTTTGTTTCTAGTCAAATAAATAAAAAAACAACACACACAAACAGTCCACATTTCCCGCACACAAAACAAACTCCGGTCTGGCGTATTTTTGGCTGAGCAGTCTCACTGCTCAAGCAGAACAAAATTAGTTAGCTAGTGGATTCTGGGGCTGGTTGCAGGCAAGTTAGACCGTCTGAAAAATGCCCTTAAAAGAGAAACTAAACTGCCTTAATGAGGCTGAGGGCCGGAGTGAAGCAGGGCCACAGTCGAACACCAGGACAAGTTTGAATGTGTGTGTTTACAGCTGAGTGAAAGGGCAGTGTGTGTGTGTGTGTGTGTGTGTGTGTGTGTGTGTTGTGATATGTGCCAGAGAGGTTTGGCTTATTGCTGCCCAGATGTTCAGTCAGTGGTTAAACCTCAGTCAGTGGCTACATGTTAGACATGAACTCACTCTGTAATCAGTCCTGTTGGCCTGAGACGAGTATTTCATGTTTTTACTGAGGATGTTTCCTTAGAAATATATTTAAAAAATACACGTTTGGGACAAAATAAGGATAAAACTGGAGTGTAGTGGTACAGTGTGTATGATAGATAGATAGATAGATAGATAGATAGATAGATAGATAGATAGATAGATAGATAGATAGATAGATAGATAGATAGATACTTTATTTATCCCCTAGGGGAAATTCATGATATATTTATGAGGTGTATTCTTTTATACGGCACAACATATTTGTATGGGCTACACATATATTTCAAATATATTTCAATCCAATATCTAATAGGTTCTATATATAATTTTTACATATGTGCTTTTATTTCCATATATGACATTGTGATCCATGGATTAAAAACACAGGTGTAGGTGAGAGCATGAACTGTCTCTCATCACAGCTGGCTAATCATTTCATGTTTACAAAGCCTAACTCTGCTGTTCGCTACTAAACCTGGCACAGAGCTGGTTCCCACTTGTTCTTTATGCCACAGTGCAGAATCAAAGAAGACCAGTGGATGTGGTAAAACAAGACGGACAATAAGGAATGAATGTGAATCAGTCATTAACAGTGGAGGTCCTCTCACCTGGAGATTGACATCAGCCGAGTGTTCGGTCAGCACTCGCACCACGTCAGTGAAGCCCTTGTTGACAGCGATGTGGAGCGCCGTGCACATGGAGTTGTTCAGGAGGTTGACATTCGCCCCCTTGCTCAACAGCAGCCGTGCGATCTCTGCCTGATTGCTAAACGGTGGAGACGGCACAAACAGAGAGAGATTAATCCTTTCCTGTGCTTCGTTTGATGTAGAGTGATTCCACCTGTGTTTTGAATTAAGCTAATAAAAAACAGGGTATGAAATCTCACATGAAAGCCCACTGGGAAGCTACACACAGCTCCAGGGTTGCGTGATAACTTAAACCGCTGCAGCAGGATATCAGCAACACAAAGTTATTATTCTTATTCTTCTTATTATTATTATTGTCAAAAGCTGGACTTCCTGAGCGTGTGTTAATGTGGTTGAGAGGAGGAGATGTGGCCGACTGATTAGGCAACACTTTAATGCCGTCACTGCTGTGAATGGATTATCACATTACATGGGAAGAGACAGGCCGGAGCTCTGCTGTACATCTGTCAGACCAGGTTTCTAGAGCTGCACCTGACTGTGAACTCAAGCACTGTGAGTGTGTGTGTGTGTGTGTGTGAGAGAGAGAGAGAGAGTCACCTTTGTATTCTGAAATCTGTGTATGTATGCAAGAAAACTGAGAGTGTGTGTGTGTGTGTGTGTGTGCGTGTGTGTGTGTGTGTGTGCGTGTGTGTGTGTGTGTGTGTGTGCGTGCTCACCCGAAGGCAGTGTAGTGTAATGCTGTGTCTCCGTCTTCATCCTTGACCTCGATGGAGCTGTTGGCCTGCAGCAGGGCCTTCACCACCTCCATGTGGCCCTGGTGAGCGGCCACCTGCAGCGCCGTCTTGCCCTGGTTCTTTATATCCACCTGCCAGGAACCAAAGAACGGTTGAAGATTCATCACAAAACAGCGGAGGCCTGGACACACCAACACACCCGAGCATAAGACTGACTGGAAATAATCTGAGCATGAACAACAACCAGCGTCATGCACCTGATACATAATCCTCACACGTTATGTAATTGTGGAGAAGCACGGAGACGTAGAAGTGCAAGTCGAGAAGAAAAATTACCAACCTTACTTTATATTGTAATTGTTTTATCTGGTATATACATATATATAGATATATATATATATATATCTATATATATGTATGTGTGTTTTACATTATTTTCACATTTGTAGGTAGTAGCATCTCTGAATGTACCTAAGACTGAGAGGTCTTGGGAACCTTCACACCTGCGTCCACCTGAGACGGATGTGAATACCAGGTCTGAACAGAGACCCACGTTCTGGTGCTGCATTGTGGGATAGCAGCGCCGAGATAAGAAGAGAGAAACACTGGAGTGACGTGCAGTGTGAACATTTTAACAGTCCATTATTTCAGTCTTTAACTTCATCTGTATCCGGTCTCCTTATCCGGCTCACTAAGTTACTCTGGTCCTTAAATTCCCCGCCCTGGTGGAAGGAGCTCTTGGAAGGAGCAGTGGACTGCAGCAGAGAGAAGGAGTGCTGCACTAACCTTGTCAGGATATTTCTGCACCAATTCCCGCACTTTGTTGGCACTGCCGTGTGCTGCCTCGATGACCAACCGGCCGGGGTTGTCCTGCTCTGTGGACTGAGACAGCAGCTTCTCCAACACTGAGATGACAGTACCTGGGGAAGGGAGGGGGAGGGCAGGGTGGGGAGGGGGGGGGAGGGAGGGGGCAGACAAGAGAGACAAAGAGTCATTTAGTTTAATCAGTCAGATGTGAACACCAGGATTAGAAATGTTGTCGCAAAGACTTGCAGAAAGCGGAACAGCACCACAAAAGTCACACTGGTTAATGTTTGTCGAGGCTGAGCTCAATGAAAAAAACCACAGGAATGAGTCAAAATGTCCCTCCATGCAGCACAATCTGACCACACACACACACACGCACACACGCGCGCGCACACACACACACACACACGTCACTCTGATGTCACCCTCCCGTCCACCGAGGCGAACACATGCACAGAACGGACTTGGCCGCGATTATAGAGACTGCTGAGAACTTCTGACATGAAGACAAATGTCTGCTGAGCTGCCAGAGCCTCTGGCCGTCAACATGCAGGATCTGAGGACATGCTACAGAGAAGAACAGCTCAGGACATGGACACCCTGTCCACACAGCGCTGGAAAAGACAGACAGACAGACAGACAGACAGACAGACAGACAGACAGACAGACAGACAGACAGACAGACAGGGAATGGCTGTGACCAGTTGCAGCCTGTCGTATGTGAGAGCATGCAGGGCGGACACAGAGCTGAAACGAGGAGGGGGGGAGGGGGGACCAATGACTGCATGCAGAGGGAGGTGGGGGAGGAAGCTGGAGCTGGAGTGTTTGAGATGAAGCCCCCTCGTCACGGCAGACGCCTTACTTCCAGATTCGCTGGGGTTCTCGGCCGTCATGAGGTTGGCGTCCACCTCCACGGGCTGCGCCGAGAGGCACGCCGGATTGAACGTCCACGTCTGAACTCCGAACGCCACCCGCAGGTCGCCGTCTGCGTATACTTTCAACACCTTCCCGACCTGCCCGAGCACCTAGGACAAAAAGCAGTAAGTAAGATGGACTAGGCGTGGGCGGATCAGAGGGGGGGGGGGGGGACAGGGACAAATAAAGAAATAAAAAGTGGAAAAACTGTTTGTGTAACTTCATTTTTTAAGGAAAATAATCCGTCTGCAGTCGAGGAAGCGGCTCTGAACTCGAATACTTCCTGATGTTCAACCAATCTCTGTGAAGTAGGTCACTCTTCATTCAGAGGGATGTCTAAAGGCCTTTCTTTAGCAAGTGACACAGTTGATATCATGCACTCAGACAACGAGTAACCCGAAGCTACCAGAACACAGAGGTAGGACAAAGTCATCGCTCTGCACATCAAGAGTTAGTCCGGAGTCAAGAGCCACTTCAAAATAAAGCACAGTTGTTTATAAAATGTGAGAGTTAGAATAGTACATTTTCAGGAATCATAACTGTTTTGTTGTGTATTACGTACTGAACTTTTTATAATATTAAACGCACAGTCTATAACTTCTACCTCTCTCAATTAAAAACAATAACAAAAGACGGCGTGGGATCATGGGACCACCATTGCCATAAGCTCCTCCCGGTTTGGTTTCCCTCAGCGTCAGTGGTTCAGGAAATCAAACTGACCCAGTGATTCTAACCGCTAAAAAACACTGAGTGAAGCAGTTTGACATTTAAAGTCAGAGTCTGAGCGACGCTGTACGGAGGACAGAGACTGAGGGAAGAGTCGGAGCGGAGATTGATGCTAACCTTTGTCCTGATTGTTTCTCTGATAACTCATGAAACAGACGTTCAGCAGGTTTTACCAGCAGCTGAATGATGCGTCCTCCTCTCCAGAACAAACACACCAGGGGATTAAAACCAGTGGAAACACTCATGAAGCAGTTTCACTTTAAAAATCTGTCTCACATTTCCTCAGCTTGTTTCTCTGATAACTTCAGCTACCAAACTTTCCCTCCTGCTCACACAATGTGACCGGCTACCATCAGACCAAATTAAATCATCACAGTCGTCAGGAAAGTGAAGGTTTAAAGTCAGAGTGAAGTCACGCGTTTTTGTTGTTACAGTCAAAGGCGTGACTGAAGTCCACACCTCTGCAGGAGCATGGTGTTAACTGAGCATTGTTAGCTGAAGCTCAAACACCATGAAGAGTTAGTGTTATTTCTTATCATTATTATCATCATGAGGCTGAATGAGCATACAGGAGCCATGCTGTCTGTCCACTCTCCATGTCCGGCCTGCAGTCTCTTCACACTCTCCATGTCCTCCAGCACTCTCACCAGTTCACCCACTCCAAAAGTGTTCACCTGGGGGGGGGGGACACACACGGACACATTATTAACAAAGTGGATGAGCTGTTACGATCATCTGAAGCTGTGAACTGAGTGAGAACCTGCTGCAGGATCCTCTGGTACCAACTGATCTGAGGCTCAGTACCTTGGTGAGGGCCCCAGGATGGAAAGTCCAGCGGATGTTGTTGCTGTACTGGACTCTGACGTCTCCTCGATCAGTGATCCTATGAACGGTCCCGATCCGGCAAATGTACTGCAAACACAAACAGACTGTTTCACCCCGGGTCTCTCCCTCTGCATGGCTGTGACCTTAATGTTCCCTCCGGCAGCTGTGATTCCAGAGTCGGATGCTCTGCGTCTTTTCACTCTGTTGCACATCGACGTCCATCTGAGCCACTTATATAAATACTGTGTATGCCAGGTTCAAGAGCCGTGTGTGTGTTTTGACTGTGAGGCCGTGTATGTCTAAAGCATAAAAAATATGAACTGTGCACCCAGTGCAAAGAGTCCATGAGTACATACGCTTCAGGAAGTATTCAGACCCCCTCACTGTTCTGCACACTCGATGATTTAATGTGTCAGTAACTCATAATGACAAAGTGAAAACATTTTAAACAATATTTTTAACTTTTCTCTGGCTCCAGTCTCTGGTCAGTTGCTTCCTCTTTGCTTTAATTATCCTTGACATGTGTCTAGAACTTCACTGGAGCCAAACTGAATTGACGAGACAGAGTTTAGAGAGGCTCACACCTGGACTTGAGTGTTTAAGACACTTTCAGAAGTCCCTGAAGTCACTATAGACCCCTGTCCTCTCACAGCTGTCTCTGCAGAACCCTCTGATCTTTGAACAATCCCCACTGTGACTTCTTGGCTTCTGTACGCTGCCGCCCGTCGTCTGATTCTACAGGAATAGACGGATGTGATTCCTTCAAATCAATCGCAGTGGATCAATAATATCTTATATTATATGAGGCAGAAGAAAATGACTCTCACCTGGTAAATTTTGTCAAATCTGGAAACCTTTTCTGAGATATGTAACGAGAATCCTTAGTGTAAACGTGATTATAGGATATCGATCTGATGGACCCTGAGAACTAGGAAAGTCTCTCTCGAACTTAATTATTTACTTATCTACTTACTTTGTATGTGCGTGGGGGGAGAGGGGGGTTGTATTTGTTTTTGTGTGCTCATCATTTAAGAAATGCAATAAACAGAGATTTAAAAAACAAAAAACTATAGCTGTGGTCGGAGCTAAAGCTTTGAGAGTTCCCAGCAGCACACTGGTGTCAATAATGGCAGAGAGCAGCCAGAGAACACAGAGAAGAAAACCTGCTCCAAAGAGCATGAGAGCTGAGGGTGGGGGTCACAGTTCAGCTCAACAGTGACCTGAAGCAAAAAGCCAAGACAACACGAGTCAACACGAGTCTGACTGTCCTTGAGCGGAACCTGCCAAAGTCCAGACTTAAGATTCACAGCAGTTCAGACGCTTCTCATCCGATGTGACGGAGCCCGAGAGGATCTGCAGAGAGCAGCGAGATAAACTGCCCAAAGCCTGAAGAGACTCGCCCACGATGGAGCCAAAGGGGCTTTCACAATGTACTGAACAACTTTTGTTATTACAGATTTCAGTTCTTCATTTTTCATGAGTAAAAACAAGTTTTCACTTTGTCACTATGGGTCATTGAGGACAGACTGATCTATGACACAATAGAGCATTCAGAAAGGTGCGAATACTCCCACTGTACACGTTGTACTTCTGCATTATAGAGGAACTCAACAGAGAGTCTGTTGTCTCTCGGTCAGACGGGAAGACTTCAGTACCTCTGCCATTTTGGGGTTCCACCCTCCGTGACCCTCCTGCATCTGTCGCAGGATGTCCACCTCCAGGAGACACTTGACCTTGTCCCCCTGCTGGAAGGAGTGTCCGTCTGCACTCTCCTGGCGCTGCAGCTCCGCGTGCTCTCCTGGATCAACAGGTGTCAGTCAGCATCAACAACGAGGATCCGACTTGTGTTATAATAATAGTTTGGGTTTGAAATCAGTGTGTCATATTTACGTCTCTGTAATGTCTAAAAATGTCACATACAAATATCTGCAAACATTACAATGATAAAAAAGGAAACTTTGAGTGCTTTAAATAGTTCCTTCAGACAAAAGCTGTGTCGCAATTCAGGGGCCGAAACTAGACTGTCCCATTTCAAAGGCTCCTTCTTTTCCTGAGAAAAATCCCAAGATTCATTGCGCTCCGGTAATGAAAGCAAACACCACCGACAGTGAGCAAGAAGATTACACTTTTAAATGTCAGTGTTTTGTTTCAGCTCAGTTCAACAGCTCACAGGTACAACTGTTAAAAACCACGGACCTTAAAACCTCAAGCGTCTGTGAAAACAGGAGCCGTCTCATTTCGGTTCGGCCTCACCTTCGTAGACCACATCCCCCTGAATTGGGACACAGCTGAACTGTCACCCAATGATGTCTGATTAACGTCTTCCTACCTCACAAAAAAAAAAAAAAAAAGACTAGAATCTAAACCACAGTCTGATTTTTTCATGAAAGCAAATATCTGAGAAATAAACGTAAAGTAATTCAAACACTGGAAGCGGGACTCTGTGCGTCTTACCGAGCTTCGGTAGGTGGTCTTTGTAGTAGAAGCCTCCCTGGCCGTCGGACACGTACTTGAGGTCTACCTTGCCCTTGTGGCCCATTCGGTAGACATTAGTGGTGCCGTTAGACCAGGTGACACTGGCCACGCTGCGACCAGACTCTGTGTCCCAGCCGCGAATATCCACTACCTTCCCAACCTTACCCTCCCCGCCTACACACACACACAAATATGCAAAAAAACAGTAACGTATCAGCTCGTTAAAGAAAAAAAAATCAGGTTAGATAAAGAGAGAGGATTTTGTAAGAAAATATATGAAGTTCAAAATTCCCAAGCACAGTATTTGAGAGACGTGTGAGACAAATGAGATGAGACATTTTCCCTGACAAAACATATAAAAACACATTCAACATTTCACAGGATTGTTTCACATCCACACATCAGCTTTTTTTTTTTTTATGAGAGGAAAGAAAACCCTTGTTAAGTCATTAAAGTCCTCAAGCTGCCTCAGTCGATAACCACACCAGCTAAACCAGTGACCCGTTAAGACTACATCACGGAGGGCTGGGGGTATTTGTGAGCATGCTCAGAGCATCACGTATGCACTTACTGCACACACATTTAAGCCCGATGAGTGACTTAACCGGACCCCGGGGGGGCGTCGGTTTCAAAGACACCAAAAGGACATTTTGACTCATTCGCTCTCGCCCAGAAAAGGAAGCTGCGTTTTCTATTCTCAGAGACAACGATGACCAGGAGACAGAAAGACATATTATCATTCCCCTCTCCCCCCCCCCCAAAGGGAGCAGTCGAGGGTTTGCTGATGTGGAAGATTGTTTTCATTTACTATCTAAACTATTTCAAAACATCAGCCGACGCCGGGCCGCTTGTGTCTGAACAACAGCGTAGACCACAAGATGTGAAGCCGCAGGCGACACACAAACACACACTTTCTCAACACTTTCACCACAGACTGTGTTTGCAGTGAAGGAGCTTCTCAGTTTTTTCTTTTTTTTTTTGGCTGGAAGAAGAAAAACAAAAAAAGGACGTAAACATTACAGAACAAGGACTCGCACAGACGGACACAACATCTGTGGAACAGACTCCGATGAGTCACCGGCAACATAACTGCACACAGACACACGGTTATCAGGCGTTTCTCAGGTTAATGAGACGTGAGGTTAGAGCGCTGTGATGGTGGAACACTTTGAAGAGGCACGGCTCCATGCTCGAGCAGGTAGGGGGGCCTGTCGAGTTGGCAGCGCCAGGTTAGAGGAATGAAGCAGTCTCACCACACACACACACACACACACACACACACACACACACACACACACACTACTCACCGTCTTGGTTGCCCCAGTCCCAGTCAGGTCCACGAACAACTTTAACCCCCTGGAAGATTCCTTTAAGGATGATCCGCGGGAGGTTCTGCCTCGGCGCCAAGCTCACTCTGTGATAAGAGCACGGAGACACCGCTGAACAACTGGCAAAAAACCCCAACAACACACTTCCTGTCTTCATTATGAACCCTGGTTAAGAAAATGTTCAAATTTAACAGTTTCAATCTGTGACTGAGAAAACACCGAAAAAGAAAACAACATTTTGGAAAAATAAATGAAAAGTAAATACATTTTGTTTGCTGCATCTCTACATTTTATTTTAGGATTGATTCTATAATTGTTTTAATGAGATCCAGGGCCCCTCAACTTTGGAGTTACTTCCCTGTTTTATCTCATTTCATAACACATCCCTCATTTACAAAAGTATTCAGGTGTCAGTTACATCCTGTTTGCTTGAGATGTGTCACCTGTGGCCCAATATAATAATAAAATATATAATAAATAAAAAAAGATTTTATTGTGTGATGTCTTTTCAATCTCATTTACATTTTACTCTGATGTTTTATATTCGACTCATGTGAAGCACTTTGTTACTTGTATTATTATTATTTAGGACAGAATACAACGTACAGTTTTAAGGTTCCACATTGATAATCAGTTAATCATTAAAATCTTATGAAATACAAATAAACAACATTTGCTGCACGACCCACGTTCACTTGGTGCATGAATCATGAACCAAGTGAACAAAATACTGTTGTCAAACAACATTCAATAAACAGATGGACAAAAAGAACAAAATCCAACAGATTAATACTGTTGATATTAGCGGTATCATGAAGAACACACATTTACACATTTAATATTTATCACCAAAACACACGAGTATCATAACATGTTGCACCCGTTTCCAGCCTGAGGATAATCTTTCTTTAAATTGTTTTGACACCTGAGTGGTTCACCTCAGTTTTCTTCTCTCTCTCATCAGCAGTGATTTCTACAGAGCTCGCTCCCTGCTGCATCTGCCGGTCGAACACGACACACAGGCACATGCTGACACTGATCTATTGATCCAGCCTCTAACAACCGCACGCTGAAGTCAACAAGTCAAACCCTCGTTGACTTCCACTCTCACATCAAACTATCAATGCTGATACTGATATGTCTCCTGGCTCCGCCGCCTGGCAGACAACTTCTGTCTAGTTTGCTGAACCAAGTGGATATCCTACTTCAGACAAGGTGCTTTTTCCTGCCAGGATTTCAGGATGATGGACAACTCATCTCAACACAAAGCCGCCTTCTAAAGGTGAGACAGTCACCTGCTCAGAATCTGACGTACCTTATGGTAAAGATTTGATCAGATCGTGGTGCAAAGGAGCTGCCTATTCCCATACTTTCTCGAGGAGATACTTGTCTTGATCAAACCGCAGCTTCCATCTCAAGCAAACACGGATGAAGTCAAAATCATATACAATCCAGTGTGATCAAAAGAAGAAGAGCCGTGTGAGAGCTGCAGTCCTCAGGGAGCCTCATGGAGGCTTTGCTGCCTCCACGTATCTCTCTAACACTGGAGTTAGGGTTAAAGCTAGCCTTGGCTAACTCCCCCCCCCCGGACAGATTTGTCAGGTTCTCAGTTGCTGGAGCAGGAAACAAGTCGCACATTTGGCTCTTAACAGTAAATCTCAGTGTGGGTCTGTTCTGAGAACGGAGAGCAGAGCTTTGAGCCTAATCCCTGGACAGCAGAGCTATCAGGAAGCAGGCCACCACAGGGCAAAGCAGGGAGCATGTGTGTGTGTGTGCATGTGCATTAACGCCTATATTTATTCATAATGGAGATACAAGAGGAAACGCTGTAGATACAGCACATACAGTCTGTATTTCTTCAATGAATTTGTGTTTTTAGAGCTTTTAATATGGTGTAATTGTCATAAGACTTACTAAAACAAAGTTGGTTATAGTAACAGACTTCCTGAACTCACAGTATTAAGGGGCCAAGGAGAAAATGTTACAAGGTGTGCCAATTTCCTGACGGCACAAAGCAGATTTAGTTCAGAACTGAAACGCGACCAAGAGAACTGTTAATGACGTGAGAGCTCGTTCAGCATGAGAAGAGACGGCTCCTATAACGTGACCCGAAAAATGATTTCAAAAGTAAAGAGGATGTGAGTGAACAGATGTCCTTGTTTCACGCCAGAGCAACGTGACCTCGGCGTCTGACGTGACGTGTTGTTTCTCAGGGAAGCGACTCTGACAAACACAAACAGCTCTTTCCAGGGATCAAGATTTCTAATCCTTCTCGGCCAGATGTCACCCCTGCTCCCAGACAGGATGATGACAGGAGACCTACACCTAGTGACACAACAGCCAGGTCAACAGTCAGCCAAGGGCTAGCTTTTAATCTTTGAAATAAAGCCAATGGGATTCACAGAACAACCGCATGTTTATGATAGAACTACAGAGTGAGTTACACAAGGCTTGCGTGCTTTACATGAAATAAGGATTTGAGGACGAGGACAAACCAAGTTTAGCTTTAAGTTACGTTGAGATAGCAGCTAACTTTACCCTTTTATATAGGCCTGTACGGCGCTTTGCAAAAGTTTAAAAGCAAAGTGAGGATGCTTTAAAAATAACCCCATTGGATAGATTTCAATTTATCAATTACCTTCATATGAGGTGCAGTAAATAGAAAATGAAATCCAATCACCCTCTTTCCTCCTGTATACAGTTTGCTTACTCATAGTTTTTCAAGGATCTTGGCAGGAATCAGAAGCAAGAAATCATCAAGAAAATGTGAAATCATGAGAGACGTGAGAGACCTCCTCTGGTCAAATCCTGATTTTATAACTGTGACGTCATCTGACAAAAATCACCAAACACATAAAGACAAAGACTGAGCTGTGCTTTCAGCTGGATTTACTGTAACATGATCACTCCGAGAGAAAGGCATTTGCTTATTACAGTCATAGTGAGAGAGAGAGAAGGTCTCAAACCCAAACTCAAAACCTGGAAGACGGACTATCTTTCCATCGGGATCCACAACAGTTTAGTCTTTATTTACTTCAACTCCAGAACGTCGCAGACTTTTATTAGACGCAGTCGAACTCTCTCTGTTTGATATGTAGAGTTGGTCATAGACGTTACTGATGACCTCCCTCTCTCCTGCTCTCTCTGTTCAGTGTGTCTTATGTTTAGTTATTCCTCTGTCTCCTTTAGTAATAACATGGAATCAAAGTAGTTTATTTGCTGTGAAGGACACGAGGCTCAGTGTATTGGAAGTGCTCCTCCTCTTCTTCCCTGCAGTTCCCAGAGCAGCCGAGAAACCAGAGTGGCCTCGGTAGACCGCCACTGACCAGTGGTGGAAATATCATCAGTCACATAATTATAAATACATCATACATTTTGTGGTGGGAATGGAAATGAGGAAGAAGTGTAAAATCAACATACATACATTTCAGACAAGAAATGAGCAGAGAAATTGTCATTTCTCCTAATAAAACCAAATTTAGGAGGAAAATCCAGTCAAATCTGACAGGGTCGCCCCGGTGGTTCACCTGGCAGAGCGCATACCATTTAGGTTCAGTGACAAAATGTATGTCACCCCATCTGTCTCTCTCTTCCCTAACTTTCCTCTCTCTCTCTCTCTCTGACTGTCTCTGTCATAATGAAGCCAGAAAGGGCCAAAAAATAATTTTGAAAGAAAAAAACAAAAAAATCTGGCAAGAAGACAGAGGGAGCAGTGGAAAACTCTGCAGGAGAGGAGTGGGGAGAGGCCGGTCAGATGTTCCTTAACTGTGACGACAGGGTGGGGAACTGAGGAGGTCTAGTAAAGCTTGATGTGCAAGGGAAGGATTACAAAACCGAGTTGACCTGATACGTTCCCTAGAAAGTGCATGAGTGTTGTTTATGTGTGGAAGAGCTGATTAACCAACTGCATACCGACTATCTCCTTGTAAACATATGGCACACACATATGTCGCCCTGAGCGCTGTCGGCGTGCAAACATGTCTCCAAACGAACACAGTAAATAAACATCCATCATCGCTACCTCTCGGCGTCTGGTTCAGAGTAATTACACTGCAACAATAGTTTAATCAATGTCATATCCTGAAGATTCAAGTCACAAACAATGGCCTCAGTCAGTGCAGAGGAAATATGCAACAACAGGAGTCACATAAGGTAACAGTATCTGGTAACTGTATCCAGCACACGTTATCTAACACACGTGAGTTCTTGAAGGATGAAAATGTTAACATGCTAATCTGCACATTTGAGAATGCTAGAATGCTAATCCAGTTAAATCTGTTGTGATTACAATGGAAGACACATGCACAGAACATCCAGCTCAGGTCTCGCACACCACGTCGCTGCAGCACTTTTAATAGCGTCGACAACTTCCCATTGCTCCCTCAGGACGCTAATAAAGTTTCTGCCTCCAGTGTGGTTATAAACTCCAAATAGATCTGCCCTGATTCAGTGGCCGTTAAACCCTCACACATGTTTGGTCCACATGAAAGGAGTCCCTTTTTCACCATGTTCAGGCCAAACCCGGTCTCCTCACATACACCGCCACGGGCACAACGAGAAGTCACACTCATTATGAAACTGAGTTAAATTTGCCAAATATCAGTGTCTCATGACCGCCAGATTATAAATCAGTCTTTTGAAATGCTGTCAGTGAAATATGGGTCAGCGTTGTCTGGAAATAAAGAAGTGCTGTGTGTTGGGTAGCACGAACTGCACAGAGCTCCTCTCTTTCACTCATCTGACGAGAGAAGAAGTGACTTTCATGTGATGTTCTCCCAGATGAAACACTCTGTCCCAGCGCCAGGCGACAATCGCTCGCTCCGTTTTCACTGGAATTATGCAAAGATGTTCTTTGATAAAAAAGGATGAAGAGAGAACGCAAACACCCGGCGCTATGAATGAATAATTTCACGTTATTATGACGAGCAGCGAATTGTGAATTATATTGATAAAAATTCTCTCGTTTCATTTATTTATCTCGGCTGTGCTGCAAAAACCTGCAGACGTGCATTTGTTTTTATCACCGCTACCAGGCAAGCTCGGCACTGACTGGTGCTGAATGCAAATGCATGAATGAAATTCCTGTGTAAAAACTAATACTGGACCCAAAATGCACACACACAACACACACACACAACACACACACACACACACACACACACACACACACACACGAGTCATAGATGCAAGGATTTTTTTTACAGGACAGCAAAAAAGCAAAACTGCTAATATCTTAAAATCTGGAAAAAGCTAAACAAGCCAAAAATCATTATAAACTATTCTGTAACATTTGACGTAAGATTTAATTTCATGCAAAACAACCTAGTTTCCTCCAGTTGAGAAACGTTGCTAAAATTAGAGAGATCCAGGAAAAAAAATCATCCATGTTCTGCAACTCACTGGTCACTTCCCTAAATCGTTCTTCTGTGTCTCTGTTGGAATACACAGCGTAGCTCACTTATTCCACCAAGTGTTTCTAAATCTGCACTGGTTACCCAGAGAGCGCCAAATTCATTTAACAATTCATTTAAAATCATTTGTAAAGCATCGCACGGGCTGGCCCCACAGTTAATTACTGCGTCCACTGACCACAGTGAGATCACTGAGGTCGACTGACCAGCGACTTCCTGCTGTCCCGAGGTCGAGGCTAAAAACCAAAAGGCTTGTTTGTTATGATGTTTTCTTTTATTATGTACTTCTTTTTTTATCTATTATTTAAGTTATTTTTTGGGGCATTTGTGCCTTTATTGTGATATTCACAGTGAGAAAGAGAGACCGGACAGTCAGGGGATGACATGCAGCAAAGACCCGCTCTACCAGGTGACGCACCGAGGCGCTGTACAGCACATTGTAACCCATGTTTCAAAAGCTGCTTTATAAATAAAGTTTTACTTACTTACCTGTGGGTGAGATTTCAATCCAATTTAACACTGAAACGGTTTGTTCACCAACAATAGTTGATGCAAATACGTTTTATAAAAGCTGGAATTAAATTTTAACTGACGAGCAGGAGAAATGAAAGGAATGAAAGGAAGACTGAGTGGAGCAGGACAGGCAGTGCTACGGCTGAGTGGATGATGAGATGGAAAAAAATCATGATGGAGTTTATGCAAATGAGTTCACAGCACTGCCGTCAGAAACTAAATATGTGGTGGCCAGTGATGAACCAGCATCCTACACACCGTCTAAAGAGTCATAGCCGCTCTGTACAGAAGACTTCATCCACATCACGGCTGCCTGACTCGACTTCAGATGAGTCACAGGCCTCTTTGCCACTTGTGGACATTAATATACCGTTCATGTTTCAGGCGCCATAAAAATAATCTCCCTGAGCGTCGCGGTGAGGAGAGAGGCCCGGTGCGTTATCAGTGAGGTCAGTTCATTCACAAGTTCTTGAATGGAGCTCAATTTTCTCAATATCACTCAGATTAGTGAAACTAATTAAAGGGATGCCAGCGTTTTGAATAACGTAGCACTGAGTCGCCCTACAATAGTCTTTCATAAATAGGTTTTTATGCAGCTTATTGTGTGTTCTTACCACAAAAACATAAAATGTGCTGTTTAACTGCTGCTTGAGACACATTTCACTTGTGCTTTTATTGTGACCTCTGCGAATGTCAATTAAATTATTATGAATTACAGCAGGAAGCAGGAAGTTATAAGCTCTTAAAACCAGAAAAGGTTCATTGTAGAACAACTGAGCAACAGCATTTCATTACATCATCACATTACACATTTAAACGGTAGCACTGATATTAAGGTGGCTCAATCCAAAGAAAGAAGGAAGTCAGTTATTTTTAGTTTTCCAAGTTTAGCCTTGTCTTACTCAGATGTTACATGCCACAGTTTCATGGGATGACAAACAACCTCTAAATAACTCAGATTAAAAGGCACAGATGATAAATGTGTCACTATTTGACACATTTAAAGGTCCAATATTTTAAAAAGGTCTCTGTCCATGTGTAGTGTGATTATAGATCAGGTCTAGGTTCTATATTAATACTGTGAAAGTATCAAAGCCTCAGTCCACAGAGAAATGCACACAGCCTGTATTCAGAAACTGAGCCTTAAAACCAGCCATCAGGACTTCTGGAACTTTGTGATGTCACAACAAAGCACCCAGTCACCAAGCCCCGCCCACCTGGACCCACCATCCAAACCTTTACAGGATTTAGTGTCTCTGAGTGTTTTTACCTGAAATCTGCTTTATTTTTATTGGTTCACTCAAAAAACAGTCAGCCAATCAGAAAAGAGGCTCAGAGCCTCCTCTCTTCTGATTGGCTCACCGACCTGTTGTTACTAGAGCTCCAGAGAGAAGCCTGAGAGAGGAGATGTAAAACTACAAATATATCTTCTTATGGATCAACACTTCAAATAAAACACAGAAGAAGCAGAAGAGTTTTTTTTCTTTTCCAGACTATCTGCTCTAATCAAATTTCAATTTATTTATAAATCAAGACATCCTGAAACTGAAACTGTCAATACTGTAAATTATTGAAAATCATCATTTACTTAAGTTTTCATCAATATAAAAAGAAAATTTTTCCCAATTCACTGAAATGAAGATTGACTCAAAGCAGTGACCTGTTTGGACGCTCACCATGAAAAACACGATCACCTAAATGAAGGACACAGCTGAGCCAAACAACATTTGGGCCTCAATGACAAATCAATAGTTCTGGTGGGAAAGAGAGGAGGGAGACAAAACGAGATTCCAACTACTGTCAGAGTGATGAAACGATCACTGCGCTGGTCTGTCTCACTGGAAGAGGCCGGGTTTCACCCAAGAGCTCAAACCCGCTGCGAGTCCACGAGGTACACAATCAAACACACACCAGACCGCCATCACAGGAAATGAAAACAGGAAGTGAAAAGATACTGGGTTCAAAATCACGACCAGGAAAGATCCGAAGCTAAGGTGTAACAATTCGTCTGTTGCACTGCAATTAAACTATAAGAATAACAAATTAAAACTGTGAATTTGTTCTCCTGTCTGGGGCTTTAACGAACACACACTTTTGACTCCTGACCGATTCAAATAACCGTTTTTTAAACTCACATTGAAGCTGAAGAGCGACGAGTCATGATTCACGCACCTATTTGCAGCGGGGACGACAGGCGCAGGAGAATAAATGGAGCAGCGTTGGACCTGGACCAGGATGAACTATAGAGGAAATCTGGGTCATACATATCACCTCGTTAAAATGAGAACAGGCCATCCAGCTGACATTCAGACGACGCCCGCGGCAGTTTGGAGCTTTACTGTGAACTGATGCAGAAGAGTGGATTCTGAAAGGAGAACTCACTCCAGTAAATGTGGACACACAGAGAGAGGGAACGTGGAATCAGCCGGCTCAAACATCTACCCACAGCGAGGCCGAGCGAGGTTTTCAACCAAGATAACCAAGTACTTCCTGCTCAGTGCGATTAATTATAATTTAACTGCGCTTCCTGCTCATGTACGTGAAGACTCTTCCACACACAACCCTCGCTTCGGTTTTTATTCTGGATTCATTATGTTGTCTCTTTTTTTTAAAATTTGTCCTCACACAACTTTCCTCTCACTCGCTGTCACTGGGTTTATTTTTTGTGAGGGGGAGAAAGAAGGAGCGCTTGTTTTTGATACAGCTGAGAATGATCTGACATTCAGAAATGAGGTCGCGTTGAGAGTTATGAATCGAGATAGCGATTTTAACTTATTCAGCAGAGCGACTGACGTGTTACTGTAGCTCTAATAACCACCATGGCACCGGTTCAGGAGTCGTTGGTTAATATCAAACATTATTTACTTTACTCTCATTTATCTGTTGGCTAAACTGCACTGTGATTGACACAAATAAAGTGAAACCTGATGTAATCACAGATAAAACGTTGGCTGTTGGTTAAAAGTACTTAAGGAAAAGAAAGCAGACGCAGGACACCTCCTCCCCTCGTCTCTCATCCCCTCAGAATAAATACCTGAGTGTAAGAAGTGTAGAACCTTGTTAACGTCCATATGATGTTTTTATATATTACAAGACATATGATGAGTGAAATAATCATCAACACCATGACTGAGTGTTTCCAATGACGGTCTCATAAAAACAGATTCAGGGTTTCATACGTCACAAACCTCAGGAACCAATCCTGTCAACTTGTGGGGACAGGGGGGCGGGGCTAAATAAACCTGACACCTTGTCAATATAGAGAGAGAGAGAGAGAGAGAGTTAGCATTAGCACAACTGCTAACACTGTGTCCGCCACTGTCAGTTACAAGCTAACAAACAACATAAATACTAACTGCTGACTGTGCTGAAAAGATGCTAACTACGCTAACCGTTCTGACCCGTCTGCTAGTCTCTGGTTCTGGTCTCAACAGACTCCTCCTCTGAGTCTGGGTCTGACTGAGGCTCAAACATGTGGCTGAGTCTGAGGTGGTGGGCGGGGCTCAAGGCCTGATCCAGATTTCTCAACCAGGAAGTAAGAGTAGATGAGCTTCAGACCCAGTTTTTATGTGTGAAAACATGTGAAACTAAATATGAATCACAGCAGAGGATTTCACAGAGTTTAAAACAACGTCTGGCGAGAAACTTTAACTGAGAAGAAATCCTTACAACGGCCAGAGATCTTAGTTTACCAACAGAAACCTGAAATTAACTAAAGAAACTAAAGGAAGTTAAATGGAGGAAGCAGCACCAATAAGAGCTTACCTCGTCTGACTCGAACTGGATTTGAACAGAGCGAGCTAGTCGAACAGAGATGTGGTGACGGGCGACACCATAATTAGAATTTAAATGAGGAGGGGTTGTGCCAGGGGGAAAGCGGCGGTGCGTAACTCACGGTTGGGAGTGCGCCGTCTCGTAGCGCTCGAACGCGTGGCTCAGGTCGTGCTTGTTGTTCATGTAACACTGGGTGCACAGGTCGTAGTCGAAGCACACTTTGCACTTCCATCGCATTCCCATGATGCCGTGCTTCTTGCAGCTGTCACAGATGATGTTGGAGTGACGCACGCCTGGAGGGGAAGGAGAGGGGAGCGGAGTCATCAATTTAAAATGTCTGAGGTCTCTGTTTCTGTTTCTTTCTATTGGATTTCTGCAAAGAAATTCATGTCAGGTAAGAACTTGTCATGTTCTGTGTAGAAAGTATCTATGTCTTTCCCGTATCCAAGTCACTGAAGCAAGACAAGACGTATGTCATGTCTTTACAGATGTCACTTATCACAATGGCTGATATCATGAGATGTGGAAGAGCTGAGGCACAAACAGCATGACAACAACGCCCCCTCCCCCTTCGCCCCTCATCCCTCCTCCTCCTCTTTCGCTCCATTAATTGAAAGATCGGCTTCTCGGGCAGAAAAATGTCACTTTAAATGGAGCAAAAATGCTAATGAGTCCTACATTAATGTGTGTGTCATTCAAGTCCTGAATAGAGCTGGATGGCTGACGATGAAAAATGGTTCTTTACAGTTACATGCTTACTCGAAAATGGGCTTTGTGAAGGCTGCGTGAACAATCACAATGAACGAGATAAACATGGAGAAACGGCTTTTCAACACAGACGAGGCTCAACAGCGAACTGTGCGATTCTCCATCAGGAGTCTGTGAAGAGTTCTCAAAAGTTTGACTTTAATAACAACGATTTTTTAAAAGATTTACTGAGAAATTAATAAAGGGGAAATGAACGCCATCAAAACTTTACAGTGGGTCTGCAACAACTAAATGTGACTTATTGTTTGTGAAACAAAAACGGGAAAAGGGAGGGAGACTTAATTAGAGCAGGAGGAGGACTGGGAGGATTTATGGGAGCCACAATGGAAAACTTCATGGAGAGAGAGGTTTGTTGGAAAAACCTCATCAGGTTCTTCAGGCTTCCTGTTTCAAAGACTCGTCGTATAATTGTCCAGTTGCTGCGAGTTATTATCATATAATCCGGTCCAGCAGGAGGTTTCATTAAAATGTTTGTCCTGCTCCATAAAAACCATTATAGTGGCTCAAACCAGAAACACCAGTACAACTGACTGGGTTAGCATTATTCATGATATCTTTAAAATGGACAGAATAACTTTTTGAAAATATGGAAAAGTTGGATCTTGTACTTATTTGTTTCATGTAAATATCTTTGTCATTTTTAAGTGGATTTTAAATCATGAAGGTAAACTCTGATATTCTGGTTCTGTTTAGCTCTGTGTCTATCTGTTGTTTTAATACAATGATTATTGTGTTTTCTAAGCGCCACATCAGCTACAATAAAAAGAGCATTTAAAATTAATTAATATTTAATTTGGAAAAAACACTTTGGCAGAAAAGGACAAAGCTGATCCTGAGTGGCTCTGAGGAAAATGGGTTTTTAAAGCTGCAACCAACATCTTTGTAAAAGTATTAGCAAGAATCATCGAACGTTCTTAGTCTTGTTTATTTATTCTGTGACTGGACATTTCCTGATTTGAAAGATGGTTTCGCTTGTTTTGAACTTTATTTCATTAAGAGAAAGTTCTACTTTGTTAAGATGAAAATAGTTTTGTAGAAAAAACATTTAAACTTATTGTTTAATGTAACATATAAAAAGTATTGTTCTGGTCTCATACCAAACCTCAGATATGGTTTTCATAGTAGTAATGACAAATTTGAAATGAGAGCTAATGACCCTCGTCTTCACTTCTTACCGATTTGAGCGTTGTCATAGAGCAGCAGGTCGTAGGCACCCTGGTATCCAGTGCGGTAGTTGGTGCGTGTGCCGCTGTCCCACTGCACCACCACCGTCTTGTCTGGTGTGGTGGTGCTGCCCTGCCGCCCGATCTCCACCACAGTCCCCACGTGGCCCTCGCCATCGTCCTGGTTTCCCCACTTCCAGTCCAGGCCGCGCACCACGCGCATGCCCACCTCCATGCTGCCTCTGTCGGGGCCTGGCCTGGGGGCTGAGCGCAAGGGGCGGGGCCTGGCGGCTCTGTCACTCCCGCTGCTGCGCCGCTGTGGCTTGTGAGGGGCGGGGCCGGCTCGTGCCGATGATATTGCGGGCAGGGACGGCACCAGGGGTGTTTCCGGGAACAGATCAGGGGTCACTGGAGGTCAAAGGAGATAGAAGGTCAATGGAAACACAGAAACAAAGACACAACAATGACAGTGCAGTAAAAAGTCAGAACTAAACATAAACAGCTGATCCCTGTGAACCTGTCTGACTGTCACAGCTTTACAGGAGCCTCAGAAAACTTTGGGTCCATGCACACAACCTGTGTGTTGTCTGACTACGTGTCTGTCAGTCGCTGTTGAGGGATTAATAAAGCAACATGCCAGGTGTCTTATTAATTTTCCGAGCTGTGTTCTTCTCTTCGCTGGTGGATCATTCACAGGAAGCCTCGCTGTGTGTCATGGCACATTTCTGGAGAGAGCAGCTGGACTCGACTGCTACGCCCTGCTGAGCTAATCAAGCCCTGACCTGACACACACACACACACACACACTTGTACTGTGAGTTTGTTCTGACATCCATAGCAGGACAGTCTATGGGCTTCATTCATGCTCTAAACCTGAATCATAACACACAACGTCTTCAAGCTAACGAGCAAAAACTCTGTCAGTGACAATGCTCAGTACTGTGCACATCTCAGGTATCTACTGGACCTACCTGGATCTCATTATAACTCCTACAATAACCTGAAAAACCTAGAATTGAACTCCTGGAGTGTGAAGACTGCAGATTTTGAATGGACGCCACTGGCTGCTCAAAACAGGAAGGAAGCAGCGTTTCTTTGGGAGCTTGAGTCAGCGATACGGAAATGAACCTTTGGTAAGGAGCACGACCAGCAGCAGTCACCCAACCAATGCATTAATCACATGTGACGCATCAGAAGATATTCTTTCACACACTCACATCAATTTAAAACCGATTTAAAAGCACTTCCTGCTGCCACTGCAGAGCTACGTAGAATTACTTGTGAGGTTGCAGAAAGGAAAAAAACAAAAACAGCAGCTAACATTTGTCCATATAACTACAGCTCCGAATAACAACCCACACAAAGCACGTTGTGTGTTTACGCCTCTTCCCTAAAACGGCGATAAAAGAAAGAGGAAAGTTTGCCGACGATATCTGCAACACGAGGAAGGCAGACCAAGAATCTTTCAGCTAAGTGCTGTTAAACTAGGCTGATACACAGTGCCTGCAGAAAGTGGAGCGCACGTCCTAACTGCTGTCGCTTCTCACCGACGGACTCACCCTCACGGTTCCTGCTTTGTATTAACAGCCCATACAAACAAATTCACAGCACCTGTAAAAGTCACATACCCTGAAATCAAAGTCCCATGTTTGTCAGAAAGGTCGCAGACCTGAGCACCTCACCGAACAGACGGTGCTGGTAATCCATCATTTCCCTGTTTACAAGACGCACTAATCTAAATTAGAAGGACAATGAAGAGACTTAAGCCTTTTTCTGTGGACGGAGAACAAATTATCTACGAACGCTGGTGTGGACAGGAAACTTTCAACATGTTTCAACGCCGTCTTAAAAGTTCATCCACATTCGTCTGAGAATAAGCCAAAAAAAACAAAACAACCTCCATTCATCTGGCACCTTTCACCCGATGTGCTCTTTGGTATAAACAGCCTGACAGTTCAGCCACAGGGTTTACTTACAAAAAAAGATCTTTCAATAACAGGGAGGGCAGATGTCTGTAATGTGGCCGAGATTACACGCGCATGCTTATCAAGATTACAATGTCATTTAGGTATTAAAGGCATCTGCTTAAGCATGAAAACATATGGGATGCCGGGGATCAAAGGAGGGAAAGCAGCCTGCTTATACTCCGTTTTCTGTCCAAAATGACAGCTTAGCCTCTTTTATGCACTGGAATAATGTCCCAGCCAGTCATTTATCGTTTCAGCGTGAAGCGGAGAAGCTGTCAGGGGGAGTGGACGGCTTCTCACACACACACACACACACACACACACACACACACACACACACACACACCACAGCATGCTGGGAGTGTGTGTGTGAATACAGGAAATACCGAGTTCAGAAAGGCCTTACTTTTTAAAAAAATGTTTTGCAATAAAGCAGGAGCACAGTGTTGCATTCTGGGTTGAGGAACTGTTTTGCAGACACAGACAAAAAAAAAAACAAAAAAAAACACAAGAAAACCTAACCTCCCACCTACATTTAAAACGGCTCCGCTACCCACACGTCCCCCCCCCCCACCCCCACCACACCCCCACCTCACCCGCACTGCCGCTCCACAGAGAATCCAAGCTGAACACACTGATATATTTATTAAACAGACGAGGACTGGTACCGACAAGCAGACACAACACGGGGGGTGGGGGGGGGGTCAGGGGACGACTCTACCCACACAACAAGCTCCTATCCCACATCTACAGGGATCCACACCGATTCTGTACTGCCAGCTTTTATCTTTTGTCTCTCTAACAACATCATTCAGAAATACACACTGTGTGAATCCCACAGCTCAAGCTGCGTTTGGCATTTGCGAAAAAAAAAAGTTCTTTATCAAAGATGTCATCACATGTTCCACTTCACATGTAATCTGCATGATTAAATGTCCCAGTGGGTTATTGTGTGTTGGACAAACGTCACGTTCACTAAAACAGAGAATACGTGAACACGAGAGCTCCATAAGATAGAGATTACACAACAGGACATCTCAACATTTAGGGGTTGAAAAGGAGCCTCTACCTGAAAGAGGTGGTAACATTGATGAAAGACGCAGACTTGATATTCATTTTGCAAAGGACTGAATGATGAGATCCACTGTTAGGTTAAATCTATCTAATCTAATGTCTCTCTTGTATTTATATATATATATATAAATATATATATATATATATATATTGGACGATCAATAAATTGTGATGCTGAGCAAGAGCAGTGTGCGGGATGTTCTTCTTTGCAAGGCAAAAATATTTGATAAAAATATCTTTTTAAATCCCAATGCATGGTTGTTTTTTTTGTGTGTGTCTGCAGATGGTCACTTCCAGAAAATCTTCTTTGCACTTAAAGTATAGAGAGATAATAAAACTGAAAATCAAAACTACATCTTTAAACGCAGTAAGCGATAAAGATGTTACTACTGGATGAAATTTGAGACCATGAAAACACAGAGTGAAGAGTGAAGCAGCCTCACAAGCGTTGGAGAGTAAAGAACCTGCAGGTTTTTACCACAAACAACTTTCTGCGGGTTTTTCAAGACAATGTTTAGGAGCTTAAAGATAAAAGATAAATAAATGCAGATGTAAAAGTAACAGTTCTCTAAACACAACAATTGTTTGCACAAACACACCTCAGGTCTGAACTTCAGGTATTGTATTTGCACTTCCTTGTATTTACGTAGGAACTTCCATATCTGGTGTGTAACGTTATCTGCAGCAGCCATCGGGCTGAACTCCAGGACTGTGCCGACGGACGTGATGACAACATTTGTTATGGATGTTTTCTAGTTCACCAACTGTCAGGAGCACATTCAACGCTGAACTGAAAATCACTGAAATCTTGAAGATGATTTAAGTGGTCTACCTGAAACTGTAACATAAAACCGTCTACTTCTAAAGTGAAATATCAAAACCTTTTATTTATTAAAAAGTAAACAAATTCAACTTTTACGTCTGTCCAAAAACAATTTTAAATATATTTTGTTAAATGTCTTGGACATTAAACCAGATCCTGTTTCTAATATTAAACTTAGATCATATTTAGATCTTTGTTTAACGTAGCTCATGATCAAGGGAGCAGAGGAAAGTGAGATGACACAACAACAGGTAAAACAGATGCCATCATTTTGATTAATGTGCAGCACATGGTCGGCAAGGAACCGGCATTTGATAAAAGTGTGAGAACAGGCAGCTTTATAAGCATGAGCCATTAAAATGTTGTTGTATGAAAACGTTTGGCAGAGAGCTGTTATAAATAAATCCAACAAAAGTCAAATTTTACCAGCAGCTATGACGGATTAAAGCGTCCAGGTGTCAGTTTCACTTCATTTCAACGACGCAGGAAAACATCCATGTGGATACAACAGGTGCAGCTGCAGCATGAGCCCTGTTCATCCAGAGGTTGGCTGTCCAGTCTACATTCCTTCTACTTTTCTGTGTGTGTGTGTGTGTGTGTGTGTGTGTGTGTGTGTGTGTGTGTGTGTGTGTGTGTGTGTGGAATGACCAGGCCACCTGTGTTGCTGAAATGTCGCTGCCAATCTGCAACTGAGGGCTGAGACAGGCAGGATTACAGCTTTCTGCCTGCAATAACAGATGGACTGGCTTCCGTCACACACACACACACACACACACACACACACACACACACACACACACTGCTGTGGGCCAATCTGGGAGGGCAACGTCAACCTCCTTCACACAAACAACCAGGCACTCGACCACAACACACACCAACACAACAACAAATACAAGGACTCAATCAAAATCAGAAGTTTTCAATATAAAAAACACTACACAACTAAATATACTTAAGTACAGTACTAAGTACTAAGTAAATGTACTTCATTACTGTCTACAATGATCTGTCTTTGTACACATTTCCTCTCACTGAGACCACACAGTGTTAAGTGTAGTGCTGATAGACTGGGATCCCACCCGTCCCACGTGATCCTAATCTCCCCTGAACGAGAGGAAGTGAGACGGTGGATCTGTGAATCCTGCAGGTGCAGCACTGGAACACAGTCCATCACCAAACTCTGCTGTTGGTCTGAGTTAATTGCACAAAACATTTCAGAATCAAATATTATTAATAATAATAATAATAATTATAACAGTACACATGTTAGCCAGCGTTATGTAAGACTCCGGAGCGACAAACTACCTACAGACATTGAAGGTTTCACTGAAGGCGGAGACACATGACGACTGATAAGCAGATAAGCATATTTGTAGTTCTTTATCCAAGCTGCAGACAGATCCGGTTCTGAACACTGATAATTATCACTGAGCAGCTTCAACATGGAAAATGAGTCAGGAGTATTAATATCATTATCATTATTATTATTATTACTGGCAGAACCGGAGCCATTAGATACTGCGTGTGCTGCTCGGGCTGTACGT